CAAATTGAGCTGTACTATGTAAAAATGTGCATCATGTTATCATGTTTTGAGGACAGTATGAAAAAGAAGACTGTAACTATCTCGATTTTATATTGATTATGTGTTAAAATGATACTATTTTGATATATTATGTTAAATAAATATACTATTAAAATTAACTTTACCTTTTTCAGTTAGCAATAAATGTTTCTTTTTACTCTTTTAATGTGGCTACTAGAAAATTTTATTTAACTGTCAAAGATTTTTTTTTTAAGATTTTATTTATTTATTTGACAGAGAAACACAGTGTGAGAGAAAGCACAAGCAGGGGGAGTGGGAGAGGGAGAAGCAGAATCCCTGAGGAGCAGGGAGCCCGATGAGGGGCTCTGTCCCAGGACCCTGGGGTCATGACCTGAGCCAAAGGCAGACCGTTAACTACTGAGCCACTCAGGCACCCCACTGTCAAAGATTTTTATTTCTCGAATTATCTTTGTCAGGATTCCATAGAATGTATTTTATTTTATTTTTTAAAAGATTTAATTCATTTATTCATGAGAGAGAGAGAGGGAGATAGAGGGAGAAGCAGGCTCCCCGCTGAGCAGGGAGCCCAATGCGGGACTCGATCCCAGGACCCTGAGCCGAAGGCAGACGCTTCATGGACTGAGCCACCCAGGCACCCTAGAAAATTTTAAATTGCAGATGTGGCTTGCATAATACTTCTATTGGAAAGCGTTGATCTAGAGTGCCCTCTACCCTGTCACCTTCACTACGATCATCACATGCCGCTTGCCTCCTTATCCTCCCTATCAGCTGTAATTCCTGTCTTTTGAGTGCCACCATCTCCATCATGGTTGGCACCCTGTATGTATCTGAAGGTACTAGCTGTTGTCTACTCCACCGTATTTTAACTGTGGGATATGGAAAGAGCACAGGTTTGAATGCAGTCCACTCATTTGATTAGCTGTGTGTATCTTGAGTACATTATTTAACCCTCTTTGAGCCTCAGTCTCCTCCTCTGTAAAATGGGAGTGATGGTAACCCATCTCCAGTGTTTACTGTGAGGATTATGCAGAGAATGACACACAGCAAGTGCTCAGTTTGTGGTAGCTAATCCTACTACCACTACTATTATTTTCGATTATGCTCTCTCTGATCACAGAGGATCAGAGGCTATTGGATGTGGGCAGGATGAGGAGGCCCTCTGCCACACCTGAGGAGCTCAGCTCTACCTGAGTGTGCAAGTCACCCTGGAGGGGCAGGCCCCGGTGACTAGACTCCTTGGACGACCTCCATCCCCTGAGTGCAATGGACCATCTCTAGGTTGACTGATCCCTGTGACTCCTTGCATTGGCCTTTGTGCTGGGAGCCATGGATGATTCCAGTCTAATCCAGAGATACTTTTCAAAAAGCAGAAACCCTGAAGAATGACTCAATGATGGACAGCACTGGGCATTTGAAAGTGGAACAGCTGTGGGATGATTTTGCTTTTACCAAAACTCATTGTGTTGTGAAGAACACAGGAGATGGTGGGGGTTCTGTTCAGAGCTGGCATGTGAAGGTCAAAAGGCTGGAGAGAATGAAAACGGGGCAGAACAATCAGAAAGCCTGGGGCTTATTGGCTCTTTCTTAGTGTAGATTATTCCATAATGAAAGAACACATTCACTGGTGAAAAATTGGAAAGCCACACAAAGAAAAAAAGAAAAACTACCACCCTTTTGTTACACAAGTCAAACAGCCGCCATCACAATGTTGGTATATTTCTGTTATTAATTTTTTTCTCTACATACTTTTATATAGCTGTGTTGTATGTACACTTTTATATTCTCCTTTTAATATAAGTGGGTGCTTTTTATTTTCTAATGACACAGTAACAGCTGTTTATTATAGAAAAATTTTAAATGTGAATAAAATGAAAGTTAAAAATTTAGTAACATTTATATTAAATTCTTTTAAACAAATAAAATGCACTAAATTATGAGAATGCCTAACAATTCTATTCCCCAGATATCTTCTTTTTTTTTTTTTAAAGATTTATTTATTTATTTATTTATTTGACAGAGAGAAACAGCGAGAGAGGGAAACAAGCAGGGGGAGTGGGAGAGAGGATGAAGCAGGCTTCCTGCCGAGCAGGGAGCCCAATGCGGGGCTCAATCCCAGGACCTTGGGATCATGACCTTGCAAGCCAAAGGCAGACACTTAACAACTGAGCCACCCAGGCACCCCTCTAGATATCTTCTGATCAAGGGGAAAAACATACATACAGATGGTTCTAAGGTAAAAAGGGAAAAGGGAAAGAATTTTCCTTTCTACATCCTCATCCCTATTAGCATCCTCCTCTATGGTAACCACTAATAACAGCTGAGTAAATGTGCCCAACAAAAAAAATTACATGCATGTATCAGCATATTTTGTATATCTCTCTATTAATTTATAAAATAAATGATAATACCATATCCATTATTTTATGTATTACTCTTTTCACTAAATATATCTGGTCCCTACCAGCAGATCTTCCTTTTTAATGGCTATATGGTATTCCATTTTTGTCTACCATGGTATTACTTAATCAATTCCCCAGTGATGGATACTTAATTTGTCTTTATACTATGGCAGTAATGCAATGAACATTCATATGTGTTCATATATTATATTCACACACATATACACATATACTTCTGCAGGAATATCCATAGGTAAATTCCTAGCAGTGGTATTGTAAGTTAAAGGGACAGTTCCATAGCTTGAAATTTTACATTTTGAAATATACTGCCAATTGCCATGTGGTCTCGTCCTTGTGAGCTAGCTTGGGCTTTCTCACAGCATGGCAGACTCAGGGCGGTAAGATCACTTATATAGTGGCCAATGGCTTCAAGAGCAAGAATTTCAGCTAACAAGGTAGACATTGTATTGTCTTTCTTGACTCAGCCTCAGAAATTATACAACATTGTTTCTACCACAGAATTCTGCCCAGATTCCAGAGGAGGGACACAGACCCTACCTTTTGACAGAGTCAAAGTCACACTGTAGATTTTCACGTGGGATGGGAGATATTGCTCTGGCTACTTTTGAAAGAACAACCTTCCCCATTCTCCAAATGTTTGCATAAATTTATACTTCCATTGAGTGTATATTAGAGTACCCATTTCCCCATGCCCTTTGCAAATCTTATTGGTGAAAAATGATTGCCTCATTACTAGTTTGATTTATATTTCTTAGTAACATTTGAACAGATTTTCATATCTTTTATTGGCCCTTTATATTTCTTTTCCTATATATAAACTTTTCTATTTGATAGCTTTCTATTCATTTTAAGGGCTGCTTGCCTGTGAATAAAATGATCCCTTTTTCACTGTACATTGTAACAATGTTTTTGATATTGCTCTTCCTCTTTTTTTTTCTTTTTTTATGCTCTTCCTCTTTGACTTTGTTTTTTTGTCATTGAAATTTGTAACTTGTTTCTAGTCATATTTATCAATATTTTCTATTAGAGTTCCTGGGTTTTATATCTTGCTGAGAAAATGTTTTAAATGTTTTTTTAAAAATACCCAAGTTTTCTCTAGATTTTGGTCATTTTAGCTTCTAATCTGTTCCATACAATGTTATATGGACTATATAATATTGTACCATCCTTGGTTTCCTGAAAATAACTCCCTTTGGCCAATAGACACTATTTTTTATGTACTGTTGGATTCTAGTTGCTAATATTTTCCCCCAGATTAAAGTTTTTCACCAGTGCCAGATTTCCACTAAACTTCTCATTACTTGTGACTCTATTTTAGTCTGCAAAATTTAGAGTTTTTCTCTTATTTCTAATTATTCCCTACATATATTAATTTATTTCTCGGTTTGTCTAATTCTGATTTATAGTGTTATGTATCATTTCTTAATATTTCAAACTCCTTTGGTAACACTATGTTAAAATTTTTATCTGTTTTGTGTGCATGCATTCCTGGTATATTTTCATTATCTATACAGATATGATTTACTCCTCATCCACTTGTTTCTAATAATAACTTTGTCTGAGTCTCAATCTTAATGCTATTCTGTTGCTGGATTTTATAGGCACTTATTTTTCCTAAACTTCTAGATGTGGTTTTGTAGTTTCTCTGACTTCACAGAGCTCCCTCTTCTGTTGCTTTTGTTGAAGTGCTCAAAAACGTGGCAGCTTGCTTTCTGAGTGGTCCATTCCCAAACTGGTCTGACTGGTCTGGTTTTCTCTTTCCTTGCCTCTCTTGTTTCTTTCCTGCTCAGATCTTTCTCTCTCTCTCTCTATCCTGCTCAAATTTGATTACACTTCTAGCAGTTTCTCCTCAGTGTAGGGACCTTTCCCAAAGGGGAGCTGTGCCCTGATGGTTTGAAAATTACTTGTATCCTCCACTATTCTAGTGCCTTTCAGAATCTAATGAGTTTGGGCAAAATCCCTTCCAGTTTCAACTGTTGTTCTCAAATCAGCCCGGATGGCTTTCCAGTAACTACGTCTTGGTTATATTAGGGTTCTCAGTTGTTTTTCCCTACTCTCTCCCACACAGATGGTGCTACCGGACAGGTCATGTGGCATTTGGTGGTTGGTCCTCATCTGTGGTTCATGTCAACCAGTTTTATGTCATAAACTGCATATATTTATTGTTTTGTGATAGTGTAATTGGGAATTAAACCTAATTCTTATGAAAAAGAAAACTTGCACACAAAGGACTCCCCCCCCGAAAAAAAAAACCCACCTCATAATACCAAAAAAGAAGAAGAAAAGATCTTTGCCAAGTGAAAGAATCCTATAATGGTCAAGTTCTAAATGATTGGGCTTACCTTTTTCTCTTTAGGAATTGGGAATTCATTGAAATTATGCAAAACATTAGAAATCCTCACAGTTTCTATATCTTTTTCCCCAATGGATATAAAATAAAGTAGGACCTTAAAGAAAACGGATTTAAGAATCTACTACTAATTTAAATGACATAGGAAAACTGAAAGGGAGAACTGAAAGTGGGAAATTCCATTCAAAGAGAGGACCATCCTGTATATATAGGCCACACTCATGGAAGAAGGGCATTCACACTGCAAACTCTCGAAGCCTTCGCTTCAGCACCTAGACAGTGGCAGGCAAGACTCTTCCTCTTTTCATCATGACCAGCAGGTGCATCCTCCAAACTGCACTCCTGGTGTCTTTCTCCACCACGGTTCTTGCCGTGAACTACGACTTGCTTCAATTCCAACTAAGCAGCAGCAGTGTGGAGTACCAGGAGCTCCTTCTGCAGTTGAATGGAACTTCTAAAGATTGCCTCAAGGACAGAATGAACTTCAAGATCCCTGAGGAGATTGAGAAATCCCAACAGTTCCAGAAGGAGGACATCATATTGATCACCCTTGAGATGGTCCGGAAGACCTCTGATATTTTCAGGAGAAATCTCTCGAGCACAGGATGGAATGAGACCATTGTTGAGGACCTCCTTGCGACACTCCACAGGCAGAAGGAATATCTGGAGGAAATCATGGAGGAGGGAAACTTCACCTGGGACCACAGGACCCTTCTGCACCTGAAGAGATACTATCTAAGGATTGTGCAGTACCTGAAGGCCAAGGAGTACAGCATCTGTGCCTGGATAATAGTGCAAGCAGAAATCCTCAGGAGCTTTTTCTTCCTTGATAAACTTACGGATTATCTCCTAAACTGAAGATCTCTCAGCCTGTGCCTCTGGGAATGGACGATGTTGACAAGGATTTCAGGCATTCTTCAACTCCCAGAGGCTCTGTAAGTGACTGACAGCCAATGTACTGTATTTGAAAGGACAAAGACTTTAAATTTTTAAAATTAATTTATGCATTAAGTTATTTTTCTACTTATTTAAACTTTCACCCGAGGAAATAAATTTTTTTATGCAACAAAAGTCAACATAGCAGCTTTAATTTCAACTTGATTTCATTAGCACCGTATTAAAAATTACAGAGCACCTACTAGATGTTCTTTGTAAAATGTGTCTGCAAAACCGTACAGGTTCTGGCCTCTGCCTTCAAGGAATTTAAAATCCAAAGAAGCCGTGTGGAATATATAAGATGATAGATGATAAGGGAAGGTGAACCTTTCAGGAGAATAAATGTGACCTCAGCCTCTTCAGCATTAAAATGGAAGAGGCAGGCAGGTGGCTCTGGAATTAGGACAAGGGGTTCTGCTGCTTTGACTCTGCTCCTACCCTGTGCCCTCAGGCTCTCTGACCCTAAAGTTAGCATTTGACTGGCTATCAGGGCAACTAGAAGAGTATTTCAGCTCTTGTATTTGCCCTGAACTCCTTCCTATTATCTGCAGGATGCTCTTCTTGCCCCCCTCCCCAACCCTGCAGGATTTTTTTTTTCAAAGATTTTATTTATTTATTCATGAGAGACAGAGAGAGAGAGGCAGAGGGAGAAGCAGGCTCCCAAGGAGCAGAGAGCCTGGTGCGGGACTCGATCCCAGGACCCTGGGATCATGACCTGAGCCGAAGGCAGACGCTTAACCATCTGAGCCACCCAGGCGCCCACCCTGCAGGATTTTAAAATATTCATGTGCCCCCTAAGCTAAGGGTGAGAAGTCCCAGGCACGCCTGTGACAGTGTTAAGGAGCAGTCCCTCTATTGTACTCTTCCTGGACAGCTAAAATGTATGGGTGTCTCCGTGGAGTTGGGGGTCTCTGTCTGCTTCCAGGGCACAAACACCATAGGGAGAAAGAACTCTGCTTCCGATCTCTGCTCTCTGGCCAGGTTTTCTCCCCATTTTGTCAGAAAAGCAAGTTTGCTCCTGGTCCCTGCTGTCCTGTTCGTCCAGAATTCCATTACCTGCTTTTCCTGATGCTCTGCATCTCTGAACCACACACCCCCTAAAGCCAAATCCAAGATGTGCATGGCAGATTGAGTCGTTTCTGTCAAGCGGAAAACCAGAAAGCATCGGGGAAAGGGAAACTCAGGTGGGATAAAGAGCACACTAACTTTTCTCAGGGCTTACACTGAGAAAATACAATTTTCCTAGGAGCTCTCTGGGCACCTGGCCAGCATGTGCCAATTGGCCGGGTTTCTGGCTTTGTACTGAACCCCTTGGGAATTTAGATTAGTATGGCCGTTGTGGTCATTAGCAGCTCCCCTCCAGGCGCTGCACCCCTGTATGTAAGTAATTGGAAATAAGTCCCCCTCACAAGCACCCCTCAGGTGGGCACAATTACATTATTGCTGTTTTACAGTTCCAGAGACTAAGTCTCAGGTTTAGGAACTGCCCCAAGGTCACCATAGCTAAATGCATGGAGGTTTAAAAAAAAGTACAAAGGGCAGAATCACATAAGACTTTGTTCATAGCTAAGCATTTTCTCCCAGAGCAGTACAGAAGTCTGAGTTCCCTTTAAGGGATTCAGCCTTGAGGAGAAGAAATCTGTCAGGAGTTTCGGAGAAGACGCCACAGTACAGGGCAGACATGAACTTGGGCTCCCTCTTCTGACTCAAGGCTGGTAACACACGGGCTGTGGAACCAAGAAGTGCTATATTCCCTCGTGGATCAGCTGGCTACATTTGTCCCAAGACGGTCGAGGTCCTGGTGAAGCAAGAAACCTTCCCTCTCCCCAAAACTCACACTCCACTTTGCCACACCCCAGCTCTGCTAAAAAGCCTTCCACAGATGTGCTTCCTTTTGCCGGGGACTCAAAGACAAGATAGGCACGGAAAAATGCAGACTAATGGGTCGTGGTTAAAACAACCAAGAAGTCTCCCTCAGCAGTGGGGCCCAACTGCTCATCGTCTTCTCTAGGCTGAGGATACTAAAGAAGTCTCAGCAAGAGGCTCTTCTCTACTCACCGCTAAGTTGGCCCAGACACCAAAGGGCTGGAAAGGTCTGCTCAGCATGTGTTCCGGAAGCCAGAAGGCCAGAGGGCCAGAGGAAAGACTTCTTTTGGAGAATTATAAATACCTATGCCACAGCTGAGTATATCAGCCCATCTACAATAGCAAAAGTACGTCCATCACCAGGAGAGCATAAATGATAATTGATATGAATTGCAATAAGGATGGGGCAGGCTAGCTCAAAAGCACAAGTGTGAGTAGGGACCTATGCTAAACAGACAGCGACATAGAAGGAGTAAAGCTGTTATTTTCGCTGGCACCAGAACACCTCAAAGGAGAGCACTCATTTAGAGAAATATTGATGAGCGTCTTGAGGTTGTGGATATGCTAACACAAGAAAGAGGTAGTGCACCGCCAATGCTGTGTTTTTGTGTGTGTGTGTTTCTGAGGGAAAAAGAGAGAAGCCCATCAGCTGCTCTGGAGCTGTGATGGTCCCTGGAATAAGATGGCAGTGAAATTTTTCTGGTGAGGACAAATAGAGGGCTTTTAAGGACCAGGATGTCTCACGTGCAACTTGAAATCAGGTGCAGTATTATGATGAAACCGTGTCCCCCAAACCCTCAGTGGAGATGGCTACCCCCACGAAGTTCCCATGTGTGTAGAACTCGTAGAGGGCGTCCAGGTCCGTGTTTGAAATAGTGTGGGGGAACGGGATCGGGTGGCCAGGCATCCGTACTGGAACCAGATGAGTGGGGACAGAAGGCAGAGCCATGACATGCAGCCACTTTGCCCCCTCCTACCTCCCACCTGAGGAATCCAAGGAATTCTGAGGGACTCTGTGCCTCCACAGAGATTAGGAGGTGGAAGTTTTATCTCGCTCTTAAGCAGTTAGAAGGCCCTGGCAAACATTTGGGTCACGTAGGAGTACATAAATGCTGCCCCATAAATGCTACCTGTAGACACAGGGTAACCACGTATATTCGTGTGGTATTTTTTGCAGTTAACAAAGCTGATATTTAGGCAGTTTGGGTGTCAGGCACACTTAGGTACTCAGATACATCTGATGCAGGGACTTGTTCATAAAATACTCCTTAAAAAATGAAAAGGGGGGACCTGGGTGGCTCAGGCGTTAAGCGTCCACCTTCGGCTCAGGTCGTGATCCCAGGGTCCTGGGATCGAGCGCCGCATCGGGCTCCCTGCTCCGCGGGAAGCCTGCTTCTCCCTCTCCCACTCTGCCTGCTTGTGTTCCCTCTCTCGCTGTGTCTCTGTCAAATAAATAAATAAAATCTTTTAAAAAAAATGAAAAGAGGGGCGCCTGGGTGGCTCAGTTGGTGAAGGGTCCGACTCTTGATTTCGGCTAAGGTCATGGTCTCAGGGTCGTGGGATCTCCCAGGGGTCAGGCTCCACACTCAGTGGGGAGTCTGCTGGAGATTCTCACTTTCCCTCTCCCTCTGCCGGTCTGCCCCTCCCCCGTACTCTCACTCTTCTCTCTCTCTCTCAAATAAACAAATCTTTTAAAAAATGAAAAAAGCCACAGACTGAGCAAAAATTTTTGCACATCACATATCTGATAAAGGATTTGTATCTAGAATATATTTTTTGAAATACTCTCAAAACTCACCAATGAGAAAATAATCAACCCAATAAAAAAATGGGTTATATATTTGAGTGGATACTACACCAAGAGATACATGAGTAGCAAATAAGTACATGGAACTACTGAAGGCTTCTTCATGGATTTTTTTTTTTTTTCTTTTGTGGCTTAGGCCAGATAATGAATGTGAAATGTTTTTTGATTACAAAGGAGCCCATTCCACCATGAGGACCTACCCTAGCCACTGCCCTTTCTGACAAAAGACCACCAGCCATCCTGGTCGGCTTGTTTATGTGATACACTTGAGGTCTGCCCAGCAGAGAAGGCAGGGCCTTTATCAATACCCACTTCTGTCTTGATTAGTCAGGCTGTGAGACATATAGAGAGAGCCAGCAGTTGGTAGTGACGTCAGAAGGTGAAGGGCACCCAGGACCAGACCTTGTCAATTGCAGACCTTTTCTCAACATCCATTGTACCTATGGTAATAGAACCTCAAAAACTGTTTTATGAATTTGTTCTTTTGTTCTCAGTGTTAATTATTGCTTCTCAAACATCAGTTTAATTATCTAAAATCCTCTAGAATAGTTGGTTTAAAATAATAAACCCTGAGATTGGACTAGAATTGCCAGGTATATTCTCCTAATTTAGGTGGGACCAAGTTAGTCACTTAACTTGTGAATTAACTTGATGGTGCGGACTCTAGAATTGTATTCGCTCTCAATTACCACGAAATCAGTGGTAATTTGGCTTCACTTGACATTCTGTTTTAAAATTCCTGCTTTGCTTTATAATTCCATGTAGGGTGTTCTTAGGAAACCCAAAATGCATTTTTTTAAAATTTTTTTTTATTTTTTAAAGATTTTATTTATTTATTTGAGAGAGAATGAGGGAGAGCACATGAGAGGGGGGAGGGTCAGAGGGAGAAGCAGACTCCCTGCCGAGCAGGGAGCCCGATGCGGGACTTGATCCCGGGACTCCAGGGTCATGACCTGAGCCGAAGGCAGTCGCTTAACCAACTGAGCCACCCAGGCGCCCCCAAAACACATTATTTAAATTTTATATCTCGACAGTTAGCCTAGAAATAAGAGAAAAATGGAGCTCACTTCGAAAGACCCTCTTAAGAAAATGGAAGGACATGTCACAGACTGGGAGAATATATTTGCAAGTCACAGATCTGATAAAGGATATATCAATTCACAAAGAACTCTTGAAACTTGGTAATAATATCCTCCACAAAGATGGACAGAAGATTTCAACAGTTCACCAAAGACGGCACACAGATGGCTAGTAGATGATCAGCATCATTAGTTATTAAGGAAATGCAAATTAAAACCACGTGAGATGCTACTACATGCTTATTAGAAGGGCTAAAGTCAAAAAGACGATCAAGTTTTGGCAAGAATAGGGAGCAACTGGAACCCTCAAACACTGCTGGTGGAAATAAAACATGGTACAACCACTTTGGGAAATCATTTTGCAGTTTTTACAAAGGTAAATATACCCCTACCATATGACCCAGTCATTCCGCTCAGTTGTGTACCCAAGAGAAAGTGTTACCATGCACAGACTTGTGTATGAATGTTGCTAGGAGCGTTATTTACCATATACCCCAAACTCAAATGTCCATCATAGATGAGTGCTTAAAGAAATTGTAGGGGCGCCTGGGTGGCTCCCTCAGTTAAGCCTCCAACTCCTGATTGCGCCTCAGATCACAGTCTCAGGACCTCAGTGCCATGAGATCGAGCCCTGCAGCGGGCTCCATGCTCAGTGGGGAGTCTGCTTGAGATTCTCTCTCTCCCTCTCCCTCTGCCCCTCCCCCCACTCATGCTGTCTCTCTAAATAAATGCATAAGTAAGCAATCTTTAAAAAAAAGAAATTGATCTTTCTGTGCCGATAGCACTCTCGCAAACATGGTGAACGTTCTTAAAACCCGCCGGACTTTTCGGCAAGAAGTGTGGCAAGCACCAGCCCTACAAAGTGACACAGTACAAGAAGGGCAAAGATTCTCTTTATGCCCAGGGAAAGCAGCGTTATGACAGGAAGCAGAGTGGCTATGGTGGGCAGACTAAGCCGATTTTCTGGAAAAAGGCTACAACTACAAATAAGATTGTGCTGAGGCTTGAATGTGTTGAGCCCAATTGCAGATCTAAGAGAATGCTGGCTATTAAGAGATGCAAGCATTTTGAACTGGGAGGAGATAAGAAGAGAAAGGGCCAAGTGATCCAGTTCTAAGCTTCATATTTTGTTATTATTATGAAGACAATAAAATCTTGAGGTTATGTTCACTTCATTTGGTTGCAGTTGGTCTTTTAAGAGGGAAATAAACTAGTGCCATCAATAAAATTCCCCTTGTGGGGCAGTTTAAAAAAAAGAAAAGAAATTGAAGTATATCCATGTAGTGGACTACTATTCAGCAATAAAAAAGAATGAATCCCCAATACACATAACAACATGGATGAATCTTGAATAATTATGCTGAATACAAGAAGACAGATTTTATTTTTTATTTATTTTTTTTAAAGATTTATTTATTTGAGAGAGCTCAAGCAGGAGCAGGGGGAGGGGCAGAGGGAGAGTGGCAGGGGAAGCAGACCCCCATCGAGCACAGGGCTCCATCCCAGGGCCCTGAGATCTTGACCTGAGCCGCAGTCAGATGCTTAACCGAACTGAGCCACCCAGGCGTCCCTAGTCTTTCATATTTTAAAAGGTTGCCCAAGAAGTGGATCAATAGCTTCACATTCTAAAGCTCTGAGGAGAGCCCAGAGTACTTTATATGTTGCACACACCCCCACCACGTGCGTTTCAAGTTGCAGAATACCAAGTTCAGGGCTCACGGAAACTACTTGTCTCTCTCTCTTTTTTTTTATTGTGGTAAAAAAATACATGACATAAAATTTACCATTTAAACCACTTTTACGTGTACAGTTCTGTGGCATTAAGTCCATTCACATGTTTGTGCAACCGTCCCCGCCGTCCATTTGCAGAACTGTTGTTATCTTCCCCAACTGGAACCTCTGTACTCATTAAACACCAACACCCCTTTTCCCCCTCCCACCAGCCCCTGGCAATCACCGTTCTACTTTCTGCCTCTAGGGGTGCTTCATGTAAGTGGAATCATACAATAGGTGTCTTTTTGTGACTGGCGTATTTCATTTTGCATCGTGTCTCCAAGTGTCACCCATGTTGTAATGTGCGAGAATTTCCTTCCTTGTTATGGCTGAATAATATTCCATTGTGTGTCTATATCACCTTTTAGTTACCCGTTCATCCACTGAATCCACTGATGGACCCTTGAGTGCTTCTATCTTTTGGCGACCGTGAGCAATGCTGCTGTAAATACCTACTGGAGTCCCAGCTTTCACTTCTTTTAGGTATATCCCCGCAAGTGGAATTGTCGGATCATATGATAGTTCTATACTGAATTTTTCAAGGAATCACCAAAGCAACTATTTTTAAGTTCTGTCTTCATAGTGCAAATATTTGCAATAATAACAGAATGCAAACACAACAATAACAGCCACATTTCTTAAAGACGTATGTTCTGCAGGGGACTCTGCTAAGTGTGTTATAAATACACACCATCTTGTTTAATTCTCCTGAGAACCCTAGGAGGCAAATATTAAGAAAACTAAGGCTCAGTAAGGTTAAGTAACTTACCCAAGTCATAGTTGGTTAAAAAAGAGAGAGAGAGAGAGACGTATTTGGAACCAGAGACCGTACTATCTGTCCTCTTCTTCTATCTCCCAAAATGTTATTTTTATTCCAAGTACATAGCACTGATATTGTGATTTGCAGACGGAACTAGAAGCTCTGCAGTGGCCCCAGCTCCTGGCTTTGCTGCAAGTGCTGTGAGGACCTTCTGTACAAACAAGTGGCTCTCCCTTCACTCCAGCAGTTTGTCTCCCTGACACCCCCATGCAGAGAAGAACCGGAGAGAGAGAGAGAGATTACTAGGAAATTCCCACTTGCTCTCTCGCCAGACTCTACAGAAAATATTTTCCCTTAGAGTTTTTGGAGGCAATTGTCTGCACCCTGAGTCATAGTTTTCCCTGTGGCAAGGCTGCATTTCTTCCTCTCTATCACTACGGTCCGTCCCAGGTGCCAGCAGCAACAGAGCTGTACGCAGTTTCCTTTTCAAGTCTGGCACCCGCTGCTTTCCTTATCTCATAGGAACTTTTAAGAGCCTGTGCTGTTTCATGAAACACGCAACAAATTTCTCTTTCCTTTCACTTTTTAATGTCGTGGCGCTCTCTCTCTCTCTCTGTCTTTTTTTCCCAGTGAAAACCCAGAGGTAAGGCAAATAGTTTTCAAAGCAGAAAGTGACTTACTAATCCAGAAATGCATGAATGGGAAATCTGAGAATTTGAAAGTCCATATATATTTTTTTTTCTTTTTCTTTTTTTTTAGTAGGCTCCAGGCCCAGCGGGGAGCCCAGTGCAGGGCTTGAACTCACCACCCTGAGATCAAGACCTGAGCTGAGATTGAGTCAGATGCTTAACTGACTGAGCCACTCAGGGGCCCCAAAAGTCCAAATATTTTTTAAAAGCTTCTCATATCCAAGAGGAAAAGGCACAAGACATGGAGTTATACGAACCTGAGAGCTAATGTGGGTTCTCCCACTTTCTAACTGTATGAGTTTGAACAAGATATGTAAATTGGAAATAATCATACCTTGAACTCTTGAGGAATAAATGGAATGATAGGATGTATGCCTTGATCCAGCACTGGGCCTTGTCTATGAAAATGCCCAATGTTGGGGTGCCTAGGTGCCTCAGTCGGTTAAATGTCTGCCTTCGGCTCAGGTCATAATCCCGGGGTGCTGGGATTGAGCCTCAAGTTTGGCTCCCCACTCAGCGGAGAGTCTGCTTCTCCCTCTGCTCCTCCCCCCTGCTCATGCTCTCCCATGCTCTCTATCTCAAACGAATAAATAAAATATCTTAAAAAAATAAAAAAGAAAATGCCCAATGCTTTACTTAATTAAAAGTGAATAAAAATTATAGAAATTTGTCACACAGAATTAGGTGGGCTCTTAGAGTACTCTTCCCAAAATCTTATACAAAAAGCAAGTTCTTAATAAATTGATAGTTGGTAGCCATATTGCTCTTACAATGGGATCTAAATGAATGTCATTTTTACAAGTCATATTTATGAATATTAGGAAAATATTCAGCATCTATAATTACCACATATAAATAAGGCTTGTCTAAAATTCCAATTTCAACATTTGTATAAGTGGAGTCTGGAAAGTTATTTAAGAAGCAAAACCAATTGGGTGCCGGGGTGGCTCAGTCAGTTCAGCGTCTGCCTTCGGCTCAGGTCATGATCTCAGGGTCCTGGGATCGAGTAACCCTTCGGGCTCCCTGCTCTGTGGGGAGCCTGCTTCTCCCCCTGCCTCTGCCTCTCTCTCTCTCTCTCTGTCTCTCCTGAATAAATGAATAAAATCTTTTTAAAAAAATACAAATACGCTAAAAAAAAAAAAAAGAAGAAGCAAAACCAATTGTTTCACAGACATTTGAAATGTCAAGAAAAAAAGATGGGTGGGCGCCTGGGTGGCTCAGTTGGTTAAGCGACTGCCTTCGGCTCAGGTCATGATCCTGGAGTCCCGGGATCGAGTCCCGCATCGGGCTCCCT